TGGTTAAAGAGCAAACATCAACAAGTAGTTACAATGTGCCTACTTATGCAGGAATCACCTAGGCCCTACACAGCTACAGAGACATGTAAGGCACTATACCTTACTTAAGGGTTAGAATCTAAGATACCCTGGAAGACAGGATAATAATAGGACTAGTTAAATATGAGGCAGATCCTGTGTATGGTGATAAGAAAGGCTCAACAGAAGACCCCTGGGATCCAGGGGAAAAGCCTTAGTTACCTACTCAGGGAAAATATGTGTGTGCAATGTTTTAGTATAGTTTTATTTTGATAACAAATATTAGAAGCAATGGTGACTGGTTAAATAAAAGTATGTCCATATAGTGAAATGTTATGTAGTAGTTACACTGCACCCTACCCTGGGCAATAGAGGGAGACCCTGTCTCAAAAAAACTCAAACAAGAAAAAACAGTTAAAGAGTACATGAAAGTTGTTCAACATCATTGGTCATTAAAGAAATGGAAAGCAAAACCACAGTAAGATACCATTACACATAATAAGACATCATACATTGTTGGTAGGAATGTGAAATAGTACAAACACTTTTTAAATAAAGATTATTTTATTTTTTTATTTTATTTTAATTTAATTTATTTTTTGAGATAGAGTCTTGCTCTGTCGCTTGGCGTATAGTGCCATGGCATCAGGCTAGCTTACACCTAGTTCCCTATTCTTCTGTATTCCAACATGGTCCAAACTTTCTTCTTTTATTTCATGATGTTTTTCCTGTTTTTCTTGACCATATCTTTTTTTTCTTTATAATTTACCTTTTGAATAGGAGAGCATTCACATGGTTCAAAAATCCAGAAAATATAAAAAGAATCATAATGAAAGGCCTCCCTTCCATCATTGTTCCCCATTTGCTCACTTCCCAGCTAAGAACCACTCTTCTTTATGTATTCTTCTGAAGTTTCTTCATATACATACGAATAAAAAATATATATAGTTGCTCCCTCCCACACAAAATGTGGTATATTAAACACTCTTATGCACTTTGCTTTTTTCACTCAACAGTGTATCATGAAGATCTTTCTGTAACTCTATGTAGAATGCTTCCTCATTCTTTTTAACTACTACATAACATTTCACTATATGGACATACTTTTATTTAACCAGTCACCACTGCTTCTAATATTTTGTTATCAAAAATAAAACTACACTAAAAACCATTACACACACATATTTTCCCTGAGTAGGTAACTAAGGCTTTTTCCCCCTGGATCCCAGGGGTCTTCTGGTTGAGCCTTTCTTATCACCATACACAGGATCCTGCCTCATATTTTAACTAGTCCTATTATTATCCTATCTTCCAGGGTATCTTAGATTCTAAGCCCTTAAGGGTAAGGATAGTGCCTTACCATGTCTCTGTAGCTGTGTAGGGCCTAGGTGATTCCCTGCATACAGTAGGCACATTGTAACTACTTGTTGATGTTTGCTCTTTAACCACTTAGTAGCATAAACAATTTTGGTTGTCAATGAATAGCAGGACCTGTTGGCTTACAAGGTGGGCTGTGGAGAGCTGAAGGTATGTTTAAACTCGGTAACAGCATTCAGAAAGTTTAGGAATTCTTCTCAACTGTATGGCTTTCACAAACAGGTAACTATGGAGCTTGTTAATTTGTAATCTTTTCTCAGGTTAAATAGCACCATAGCTATTAACTGTCCTGTGTAGAATTAGGCTGCCTGCCCTAGGCCCTTTACAAAGTACCTTCAACTCTCCCCATATTTGAAACATAATTTAAGTCCATATGCATTGTCATTTATCAAAAACTTTAACATAGTAAAAGATACACTTGTATTTTCAGAATGTTAAAAGTAAGCACTGGAACTCTTGAGACCATCTGAGCTATGTAAATTATCTCTTACAGATTTAAAGAGGTTTGTTCACAAAAATAATTGGATAGTTGACACTTTCTGAGCATAAGCACACTATAGACAAGTCATTAGGCTCCAGAAAATTTAAATTTATTGTTCTACTTCCAGGCCAAAAAGTAATCACAATTTCAAAAGTATTCAAATTATTTCCATGTCATAACCTATGTCACATGGGCTACCACTTCAAAAACTTATGACTATTTGGATGGTGTGCTAGCAAAATAGAAAGCAATGCAAACCAATGTGATGTTGAAATCTTTCAAGGTTCTGTCCTGAAGTGTTCCTGAAATGTGCTGAGCTAACTGGCTAATTAGTGACAATACCCCTTCCATTCCAGTGTTCCTGAAATGTGCTGAGCTAACTGGCTAATTAGTGACAATAACCCATCCATTCCAATGCCAGAGACTGAAAGTTCAACACATTTGAATTCTTCCTTGAGAGGACCCAAATTTTCAAATAGGTACTCACTAAAAACAACATGCACAAAACCTCTTGTCCAATGAACTTTTATCTGGATATAACCAGTTAGTTGTTATACTTTTTTCTTAAACATAAAATAAGCACCATTTCTAGTCACCTAGTACACAAGAGGCACAATGTCCTGGAAAAGTCTCCATACTATAAAGCTAGTTGATGGCTTTTATCTTGTCATACTGGCCATATTCATGATGATTCTCTTCTGTTTTGCTTGCAGCTTTATAGACAGTTGACACCCACCTCTCAGTCAACCAGGAATATTACTGTTGTGGTTTCTTTTTTGAACAAAGTACACAGTATTAGTAAATAGGTCAAGAAGTTGTATGCTCTTTAGCAGGCTCCAGGACAAAGAGTCTCTTATAATCACTTTGATTTTTGTTAAGTGTCACTTTTGTTCTGAAGTGTTTTTCTAAATGTTACTACAGCGTGATTGAGGAGAGGCATCAGAGCAGGAGGAGAAAGATTACTGATTTTTACTTATATTGTAATCCCTATAACTAATGTCTTCTCCTCCAAATTTCTATCAGAATTCTCTTCTTAAAATAGATCTGGTCATGTTCCTTCCTTCTCAAAAACATTTGATGGCTTCTCATTACATACAAAATAAAGTTCATACTCTTCAATTTAATATTGGAAACCATCACAACCTGGACCCTGCTAAAATCTAATTTTTTTTTTTTTTTTTTGAGACAGAGTCTCATTCTGTTGCCCTGGCCAGAGTGCTGTGGTGTCAGCCTAGCACCCAGCAACCTCAAACTCCTGGGTTTAAGCAATCCTTTTCTGCCTCAGCCTCCCAAATACCGTGTTTCCCCGAAAATAAGACCTACCCATAAAATAAGCCCTAGCAGGATTTCTAAGCATTTGCACAATATAAGCCACACCCCGAAAATAAGACATAGTGATGGGCTTGGCTACGTATCTGCACAACCCTTGCATTTCGTCGAGGAGTGGTAAAGAAGACGAACAGCCCTTCTCATCTGCCCCATCATGACAGCTACTATCCCAGAAGTGCCTAGAAAGGTGCGGGCAGCCCTACCAACAAGGTTGGCTTCCCCTGTCAGGTCCTAGCCATCCCAGCTGTGCATGCTGCAAGCTGAGGCTTTGAGGGGAAAATAACATACCCCCTGAAAATAAGCCCTAGGGTGTCTTGAAGAAAAATAAATATTAAGACCCTATCTTATTTTCGGGGAAACATGGTAGCTGGGACTACAGGCATGTGCCACAATGCTAGGCTAATTTTTTCTATATATATTTAGTTGGCCAATTACTTTCTTTCTATTTTTAGTAGAGATGGGAGTCTCGCTCTTGCTTAGGCTGGTTTCGAACTCCTGACCTTGATCAATCTGCCCGCCTAGGCCTCCCAGAGTGCTAAAATCTAATTTTTATTGGTCTGTTTTACTTAATTTTCACAATAATCTTATTAAGAAGTATTTTTGTTATATTCATTTAAAAGATAAAGAAACAAACTAAGAAAGGTTTAGTCATTCTGCAAGGTCATACAATTAAAAAGAGGCAAAACAAAAATTCAAATCCAGTCTAACTCTTAATCAGTATTTCCCAAAGGGGTCTGTCATACACAGTTATCACAATAAGAAATAATTCCCTTTCAGGTCTACGGGACAGAAAACTAAATGATTAAGATTGGGCTATGGAACAGATTGCCTAAATTCAAATTCTGTCACACCATTTCTTAGTGGCGTGACCTTGGCCAAACTATTTAACCCTGCATACAGTTTCTTCATCTGAAAAATGGAGACTATAATAATAACTGTGCACATAACGCAATTCCAACAGTGCCTAGTGCTCAGTAAGCATCGATAAATGTTAGTAATTATAACTTCTACCCTTCTGATTACATTAAGGAGAAAAAAAAATATCATTTTTAGAAAACAAGTTTAAAGAAAAATCACTTTTAACAAAGACAGAACAGGTCTCAGGTTTTGAGCCAACTGCAATATCTAGCTAGAATAATACTTTTATTTAAGAGTTTATTTTTTACTGTTACTTTCTATTAGATTGTTTTCTATTTAGCATACTGTTGTAAAGTTTCCTTTTTAAACTAACTTGTTAAATAAAGTGAGCCATCTAGAAAAATATATTAAGTAAATTATAACACAGGTGGCACACAGATTTGGCAAAAAAAAGAAAAAAAAAGGAGAAAAGTGGCACCTGAATTACTAAAACTTCCTCCCCAAAATCTTTATGTCAGGCATTCTTCCACCTCTATACCTTCACTCAAGCCCTTCCCTCTATCCAGAATGCCCTTTACTCAATGACTTCTTGTTGAAATTCTTAACAGACTAATTAAAAAAATCAAACTTTATACAACACTACCATAAATGGCAAATGCAACATTCAAAACCCAAGGACTGCCCCTCACAAGGAGCCTCACTAATATTCTTTTTCTTCCTCTACCCCAAATTAGAATCAATTTCTTTTTCTCCTTCACCCTCTCCCCAACTTGCCACCTTACTCCCACTGCAGTTTATTTCCAAGCCTACTATAGTAATCATTTAATACCATTCTGCCACATCTAAGTGCTATTTCTCATTGCAGCGTAGTATAGAGTAGAGAGCTTGGGCTTGAGTTCAAATCAAGCTCTCACTTATGGACTATCTGATCTCGGACAAATTGACTCTGAGTTTCAGTTTTCTTTTTGTAAAATGGGGATGGGACTTAAGAGTAGAAGGTGGCTGTCATGGTGCTTGGCATATGCACAAAATTAAAATATTTCTATTTCTTTCCTCCATATATGTGAACAAGGATATACTTTAATGAAAGATAAAAAATAAATAACAATTCTAATTCAAGCAGCTGAGGAAAAAGCACACAACAAAAATTATATTAGGGAAAAAAACTCCAAGAATGCAGAGTAGGATCCAATAGTTGTGGGGTTTTTTTTTTTTTGGAGACAGAGTCCCATTTTGTCACCCAGACAGGAGTGTGCAGCGGGGCAAACATAGCTCACTGTAACCTCAAACACCTGGGTTCAAGTGATCCTTCGGCCTTGGCCTCCCAAAGTGCTGGGATTACAGCTGTGAGCCACCACACCTGGCAATATCCAATAGTTTTAAAGCTGAGACATTTTAAGAAAATGAAGTTTTAAAAAAAGGAATTAACCTTTCTATTTAAAAGCACTTTTGACAGACTGGGCGCTGGTGTAATCCTAGCATTCTGGGAGGCCGAGACAGGAGGATTGCTCGAGGTCAGGAGTTCAAAACCAGCCTGAGCAAGAACAAGACCCCGTCTCTACTAAAAATAGAAAGAAATTAATTGGCCAACCAAAAATATACAGAAAAAATTAGCTGGGCATGGTGGCGCATGCCTGTAGTCCCAGCTACTAGGGACTGAGTAGCTGGGACTTCAGCTGAGGCAGAAGGATTGCTTGAACCCAAGAGTTTGAGGTTGCTGTGAGCCAGGCTGACACCACTCTAGCCCGGGCAACAGAGTAAGACTGTGTCTCAAAAAAACCAAAAAAAACCCCCACTTCTGACAAATGGAAACAAATGCACACAGGGTAGACTTCCTGGCCAGTATACATATATTTAATATTTAGCTAGAGTATGTTGAGCAATCTTTGAAAATAAGCTTTGTAGTGATTTGTATTTGATTTTATTTATTAGTGGGAAATAAGAATGGGCAATGAATTTATAAAAATCACAATGCCATTTCTATATGTATTATAAAAGCCAGTGGCTTGGGTAGATGTGCAGGGATTTGCTAAGCATTTCTATGAAAATAACAACAAGCAAATCCATAGATATGGAAAGTAGATTTGTAGTTGTCAGGGGCTGGGGGAAGAGGAGAATGGGGAGTGAATGCTGATGAGTATGGGATTTCTTTTTGGAGTGATGAAAATGTTCTGCGATTAGAAAGTGGTATAGCTGCACAATTTGGTAAGTGTGATAAAAACTGAATTGTACATTGTGAACTAAAATATAATCTTAAGGCTCCCCACACCGGCTGACTGAATAGACCCCCTCCAGGCCAAGGGGATGTCCTAAAACTAAATTTGCCTGCCAAGAGGAGAGAGGTAAGACATGCTTCATCATGTCCCCCTCCCTTCTTGGAGATATCCTTTGTAACTCATTAACAGGCCTAAGGCTATGCAAGACAAACCTGCAGGTCCTCAATTTACACACAAATATATGTCTGATGGCTTGTCTCAGATTAACAAATATCCCCATCTTAAAACATACCAAGCCTTTAAACAAAGCTTCAAATCTTTAGTCAATTACAAGTCAAGGAATCTGTAAACCTACCAATAATCCCCCAACCCTGCTAGGATATGGCCCACCCTTTTGGGCCAAACCAATGTACACCTTCTGTGTATTGACTTATGGCTTTACCTGTAACCTATGTCTCCCTGAAATGTATAAAATCAAACTGTAACCCAGCCACAGCGAGTCCACATGCTCAAGGTTTCTTGGGTGTGGCTCCGGGTCATGATCCTCAAATTTGGCTCAGAATAAATCTCTTTAAAATTATTTTACAGAGTTTGGCTTTTTCTCCGTTGACAACATATTAAAGGGGTGAATTTTATGGTATGTGAATTACCTCTCAACAAAGCTGTTACAAAACGAAACAAAACCTGAGGCCGGGCTGGCCTCCAGTAATCCTAGCACTCTGGGAGGCAGAGGCGGGAGGATCGCTCAAAGTCAGGAGTTCGAAACCAGCCCGGGCAAGAGCGAGACCTCCGTCTCTACTAAAAATAGAAAGAAATTAACTGGCCAACTAAAATATATAGGAAAAATTAGCCGGGCATGGTGGCGCATGCTTGTAGTCCCAGCTACTCGGGAGGCTGAGGCAGGAGGATCGCTTGAGCCCAGGAGTTTGAAGTTGCTGTGAGCTAGGCTGACCCTCGGCACTCTAGCCCAGGCAACATAGTGAGGCTCTGTCTCAAAAACAAAAACAAAAAATCCGCCCCCAACAAAATGGTCAGAACACAAGACTTCTAAGCAGAGAAAGAGTCCTGGCAGGCTGGGCTCCGCAGCGAGGGCCAGAGTTCCCCGGCGCGCAGACTCCCGGTTCCACTGGGGTTCCCAACTCGCTATGGGCCTCCGGGTGCGCTGCCCCCTTTCCTGCCCAGTTTCCTCATGGGATCCACGGTGCTGCTCAGGACGGCTTTGACCCGGAGGGGCCCCAGACCCGAACCCCCGGCGCCACACGCCCCAGGTCTGTCGGGGTTCCCCTAGTTACCTGTAGGGGCCTATGGCCCCCGGGGCTTTGGCGGTGCTGATCACGCTTCTGATCAAGGACGACATGGCTAATCCTCCCCTCTTTCGGCCCCTCGGCGAGAACAAGCCACGACTGCAACCCTGCTCAGAGACTCAGCTGACTGACTGAACACCCCGCCGGGTCTCTAAGCAAAAGAGCCCGCGGGGCCGGTCCGCACGGCATTCTGGGAGCTGTAGTCTCGGCGCCACTCCAGGCCACGTGGAGGAAGAGGCCGGGCTGGCGCATGCGCCGTCCGGCTCGCTAGCTGTCCGTGTACCCTTGGGGGGGACTGTAGTCGCCGAAGCTTGTCATTCTGACCCGGGGAGACCCTCAGAGCGTCTGGCAGGTAGGTCAGGAGAGGATGGTGCCTTCCAGGGCCCGAGAGTTTGGAGGAGTGTGTGTGGCGGCCCCCGCCCGGCGGCCGCGCACTGGCCCGTCTCACTTGGCATCTTCTCTCCCTCAGACTCCGCGGACTTTCCCTTCTCTCCTTGCTGCCTGTGCCCCGGGCCCCTCTTCCCCTTGCCGCTTCTCCTTCGGCCCCCGGCTGCCTACTACGTCTGTCATTGCCCTTCATTGCCCCTCCGGGCGGAGGCCATCCCGGGAATGGGCTTGCACCCGCTCTTCTGTCACGCCAAAGGAGTAAGATGGGACATCCAGGGACCACGCTGAGATCTGGGCGTTGTCCACCTTCCCGCTCTTCAGACTGTGTTTCCCTCTCTTGAGTGGTCCTCGGGCTTCACAGGGTCTTTTTCTATCTGAACAGGGCCCTAGTGCCTGGGGATCTGATTTCAAAAAGGTAGTGATCTAGCGAATGGCCCAGATCCCTTGTGAAATTCTGCTGTGTCAGAAGGGATGGTACTTGTCTAAGTATTTCTTTCCCTGTTAATGTATGCATTGTAGGCACGATTCACGTCTTCATTTACAAATAGATATCATTCACAAATAGATATCAAGCCCCTACTTTTTGCAGAGCACTCTGCTTAGGTACTGGGAATGCAGCAGCGAAGGAAGGTATGATCTCTGCCTTCCCTGCTTCCAAAGCATAATATAAGAAGGTCTCCTTTATGCCCTTTCATCTTGCCTTACATACTGCTAAGGTTTTTGCCTTTCTACTTCCCGCTCAAGAACCTTTAGATCTTTTTTTATCGGTTTGGGGCTTCAGCTTAGAATAAAAGACGTTTCAGTCTGGCCTTCTCTTGCCTATTCAATTTCATTCTCTTCTACTCTCTCTTCCCTTAGCAGTTCGGAGTCTTCAATCCTGTATTTATACAATAGATTGCCGGATACTCTTCTTCCCTATCTATCCAAAACTGCAGGATTTCTAACTGAAACCTTGTTTTCTGATTGACTTTTCCTGCTGATTCACTTTTTCTTTCTCCAGTTTCCTATTGTGCTACAAAATTTAGTATTTTATTATATGTGGTCTTATTCTCTAATTATTGTGTGTTTTAAGAATAGTGAATAGAGTCATACTTCTGGTTTGAATCCCAGCACGTTCACAAGCTTTGTGACCTTGGGCAGGTTATATAACCTCTCTGTGCTTCGGTTTCTTTATTCATAAAGTGAGGATCATACCAGTACCTCCCTGATAAGAGTTGTGAGAATTAAATGAATAAGGCATGTAAAATAGTGCCTGACACATAAAGTTCTCAGTTAATGTTAGCTACCTAAGATGACTAAATTCTTTAAGGAAAAAAGACCATATATTTACACTATTTTGGTATTACACACAGCCTGAAACTATTAGGCACATAGTAGGCACCCAAAAATTTGTTGAATTTGGTTAAAATATCAAGTTTTTTTTTTTTTTTTTGAGGCAGGGTCTCACTCTGTTGCCTGGGCTAGAGTGCCATGGCATTAGCCTAGCTCACAGCAACCTCAAACTCCTGGGCTCAAGCAATCTTCCTGCCTCAGCTCCCCAAGTAGCTTGGACTATAGGCATGTACCACCAGGTCCAGAAAAATATATTTTTTCTATATATTTTTTAGTTAGCCAATTAATTTCTTTCTATTTTTAGTAGAGACAGGGTCCTGCTTTTGCTCAGGCTGGTTTTGAACTCCTGGCCTTGAGTGATCCTCTTGCTTCGGCCTCCCAGAGTGCTAAGATTACAGATGTGAGCCACTGCATCTGGCCTTTATATCAAGTCTGAATCACGAAGTTTTTAGATCTGGAAGAAAACTGAGATCATCTGGTTAATTCCTAGGTTCTCAGACTGTAGTCCACTCTACCAAGGGGTATCACTGGTCAACCAGAGGATACTAAGCTGTGTGAGAAAACATGACACTCATTTTATTTGAAGATTGGGGAAACATTTTTATAAAGCCTGGCACATCTTTAGTGCCCATTAAAGTTTTGACCAAAGGAATGAATATGAAAACAAACACTATGAATATAAGGAATGGATATAAAATTGACTTGAATAGTAAGAGTTAAGATTCCTTTGAGAAGCCTTAGAAGCCGTTTTGAGCTAAATCCTCAGACTTCATAAGGATACATTCTATATGCATTCTCTTCTGCTGTTACAACTGTTTGAGGACCACTGCTAGTTCATTCTGCTGACTTTTTAGTCTGGAAGCAAAGCTCAGAGATGTTCCCCAGCTTATCCTAATCCTCCAGCACCAGCCTGCTCTCGGCTCATTCTAATCTTGAGTACCCTGGGAACCTAACCTAGAATCTAAACCTGGGAACCCTGCTAGGGTTCCCATGGTTGTGCTCTGTCATGCTGGGTAAGTGCTGACAAGCAGGTAACAGTAGATGGACTAAATTGTTTTGTATAATGTTTTGAATTCAGACTAATCTGAATCATGTCCTTTACTAGTCAACCAATTCTACAGTTTACTGCCTATACATTGTTTAATTTGAAAAATATTTTTGGGTGTAGATATAGTTGTCTTTCATTTTGGTGAAGCAGAGTGGAATGAGACAGTGAAATAACATAAATCCCTGTTTATTTCATTTATTTATTTATTTTTGAGACAGAGTCTCGCTTTGTTGCCCAGGCTAGAGTGAGTGCGGTGGCGTCAGCCTAGCTCACAGCAACCTCAAACTCCTGGGCTCAGGCGATCCTCCTGCCTCAGCCTCCCGAGGAGCTGGGACTGCAGGCATACGCCACCATGCCTGGCTAATTTTTTCTATGTATATTAGTTGTCCAATTAATTTCTTTCTATTTATGGTAGAGACGGGGTCTCGCTCTTGCTCAGGCTGGTTTCGAACTCCTGAGCTCGAGCAATCCGCCCACCTCCTCGGCCTCCCAGAGTGCTAGGATTACAGGCATGAGCCACCACGCCCAGCCAGTTCATTTATTTTTTAAGAGTAATATAATAGCTGCCATGAACTGAACATTTAGTTTGTGTAAATCCCCATGCTAAGTGAGTTGTGTATATATGTTTTATAAAGCCGAAACCTTATACAGTGTGTGTGTGTGTGTATAATGTTTATTTAATTCTCACAGCAACCTTGTAGAGGAAGAGACTGAAGCTCAAAGAGGAAAAGTAATTTTCCTAAGATTATATAACTAAAAAGTGTAAAGAAGGAATTTTAATCTAGGTCTTTCTAACTCCAGAGTGAAGGCTTTTAAACACTATAACACATGGGCTCTTAATTTTATATGAGGTCTTACACTGAAAAAGAAGCTAAGTAAATGGTTGGTCATTAATTTAGTGGCTCTCAGTGGGAGTGGGCAGATCCTGATGTGGTATTTTGGAAGTTTGTGTAGGTGCTCTGGTTGGCATAATGATTGGGGCAACACTGCTGGCATTTATTGGGCAGAGTCCAGGGATGTTAGATAACCCACCACGTGCAAGAAGGTCCCACAGTATACTGCCCAGTACCTAACTATTTTACATCAAAGTATTTGTTGTGGGGTGGGCACAGTGACTCATGCTTATATCCCAGCACATTGGGAGGCTGAGGGGGGAGGATCACTTGAGGCCAGGAGTTTAAGACCAGACTGAACAACATAGTGAGACTCCCTCTCTACAAAAAATTTTATTAGCCAGGTATAGTGGCATGTGCCTAATAGTACTAGTTACTTGGGAGGCTAACTTGGGAGGATCGCTTGAGCCTAGGATTTCGAGGCTGTAGTAAGCTATGATCATGCCATTGCATTCTAGCCTGGGTGGCAGAGTGTGACCTTATCTCTTAAAAAAAAAAAAAAATTATTGGTTGCAGTTTTAATATACACTGAATTTTCCACGAATGTAATAAATCAAAACAAGTTTGTACTTTTTTTAGGGGGCGTGTACTTTATCAAGGAGTTTTCACCAGTTTGGAAAATTATGTCACCAGTAGCATTGTTATCTTTTCTTTGAGGCACTAGTACAACACACTTGTATTGTTTTGCCTTTTTAGCTACTGCATCATGGTTATTCTACATATAGGTAGAAGTAAAGACTAATATTAAAATATTGAAATGCGGCTGGGTGTGGTGGCTCACGCCTGTAATCCTAGCACTCTGGGAGGCCAAGGTGGGAGGATTGTTTGCGCTCAGGAGTTGGAGACCAGCCTGAGCGAGACCCCGTCTCTACCATAAATAGAAAGAAATTGGAGAAAGGCTCCTTCCTTTCCGTCTGGCGGCAGCCATCAGGTAAGCCAAGATGGGTGCATACAAGTATATCCAGGAGCTGTGGAGGAAGAAGCAGTCTGATGTAATGCGCTTTCTTCTGAGGGTCCGCTGCTGGCAATACCGGCAGCTCTCTGCGCTCCACAGGGCTCCCCGCCCCACCCGACCGGATAAAGCGCGCAGACTGGGATACAAGGCCAAGCAAGGTTATGTCATATATAGGATTCGTGTGCGCCGCGGTGGCCGCAAACGCCCAGTTCCTAAGGGTGCAACTTATGGCAAGCCTGTCCATCATGGTGTTAACCAGCTAAAGTTTGCTTGAAGCCTTCAGTCTGTTGCCGAGGAGCGAGCTGGACGCCACTGTGGGGCTCTAAGAGTCCTGAATTCTTACTGGGTTGGTGAAGATTCCACATACAAATTTTTTGAGGTTATCCTCATTGATCCATTCCATAAAGCTATCAGAAGAAATCCTGATACCCAGTGGATCACGAAACCGGTCCACAAGCACAGGGAGATGCGTGGGCTGACATCTGCAGGCCGCAAGAGCCGTGGCCTTGGAAAGGGCCATAAGTTCCACCACACTATTGGTGGTTCTCGCCGTGCAGCTTGGAGAA